AGAAATGAAATCAGTTAAGGTTCGTAGAGGTACTAAATAGTGTCCAGATGCTGCTTCTAAGATCAGAAACTATCTGTAATAATGCAAAACTTTACAGTAAGTAATGAGGTGAATTTAGGAACAACAATGATGTCTGCTTGCCTAAACCATGTCAGGTTCACCTGCCTAATGATTTCATCATCATCACCATCATCATCACCACCACCATCATCATTGATATGAATAGTTACCAGACCTTACACAATCACAGATAATGTTGGGGGGGCATTTTGCTTTGAACTTTTAAGTAACAAGTGTCATATATCCACTTTGAGCATGATTATTGATGTTTTTTTTTTTTTAATGAGATGCCCACAGCTCCGAAAAGACAACCCCAGCCAACTGTTCATATATGTAAAGAAAGGGCTTGACTCTCTTTCTTTCTTTCTTTCTTTCTTTCTTTCTTTCTTTCTTTCTTTCTTCCTTCCTTCCTTCCTTCCTTCCTTCCTTCCTTCCTTCCTTCCTCCTTCCTTCCTTCCTTCCTTCCTTCCTTTCTTTCTCTCTCTCTCTCTCTCTTTCTTTCTTTTTTCTTTCTTTCTGTTTAAATCTTGAACTTTACAAATACAGAAAAGTTCTGCCTTTCCTTTTGGTAGGCTTTGGTTCCAAGGACAATGACAGTGCTGTCTGCTGGGGCTCACGTCCCAACCCAAGTGTCTCAAGATAGGTTTTTCCAGCTGACTTGGCAGATCTTCCCAGGAGACCCAGCACTTAGAGCTTACTACAAGAGGGACATAGCACGTGGACTAGATTTTTAGAGGTAGCGTAGAGGTAGACAAGTCAAAGTAATTCCAGATGCTTCCATGAGAGAAAACACATGAGAATATGGAAATGCTTGCTGCCCTGACAGGAAGTAGAAACCAGCATCGAAAAGTATCCGCTTATCACTGCTGGCCAGACACGAGCACCAGAGAGCTATAGTTAGAGGATGCAGCTTCAGAGATCCTTCTTTTCAGGCTCTCTGCTATTCTCTTTGCCCTTGGCTATCATCCCATGATGACATCACATTGTCTCAGCTTTCAGGTGTAAAAGATAAACTGAGGCTCCCCCCTGCCAATTTCATCTTAGGTTCAGTTTATAGTAGCCCACCAGACACCCCATTAGCCTTGGCCTACATTTTCCACATGTCACCCCAGGCAATCTCTCCTATCAGGAAAGTCCTCCTCCTGTAGTTTCTAATCTAATGGCGGGAACAGAGACACAAAGCAAAACCCACACAGTTCAAGTTCCTGAATTTACATTGGATGGAGTGAGGGGAACAAAGTTGATTCAGTTGAGAAATACTGAATCCACAAAATATTTGTTGATTGACTTGTATGTTTAGCTTTGTTGTAGCATCTGGAGATGTTGGAATTTTTCCTACTCCAAAGGCATACTCCCTGCTTAACTAAAGGGCCTCTTTCTCTGGGGTGAATTTGACTTGTTCTCTGAAGAAGAGACATTCTAGATCACTTAGCCATTCTTAGATTGGTGAAATAAAAGTGAATGAAGAGCATTGATGCATTTCTTAGTGACTCATTTGATGATGACTTTATTGTTTCAAGGGTTGGATGTTTTGTAATCAACAACTATCCCCTTCCCTGAGTTTTTTTTTTTTTTTACAAAATCTGGGATTTTCCATCATTTGGTCAACCATCGTTGAGACATGCTGATCTTTTTCCATTAGAATATTTTGGGAGTGTCACTGGAACTTGAAATTCCTTGTCACTGGCAGGGCCTGAGAGAGCTACAGTGAACTGTGTTCTTCAGAGGGCCCATACCCTGGGCTGTTCTCTGGAAGCATGGTTGGAAGCTGTTCTCACTCATGCAGTGTTGCTTCTCTTCATTTTGACGTTTAGAGGCAAATAAATATACTGGCTTCTTTTCTTGGAGGCCGCTAATTTTCATCATTTCTCTCATCTATGTTCAGGGATTTCCCTCCCTCCCTCCCTCCGTCCCTCCCTCCGTCCCTCCCTCCCTCCCTCCTTCCCTCCCTCCCTCCCTCCCTTCCTTCTCTCCAACTAGCTGAGGCTTGGAACAAGATAGCTGAGGAACTTACGTAGTGTCCTCTTCTGGAACTCAGTCATCTTACACTAGTTTCTATATGTGATATATTGACAGTTCAGGCTTCTAAAACTCATGGTACTTCAAAAAGTCATTTAAAAAAGCTAGGTCGGATTAGCTTTGGGTAGAAATTGATCCAGGATGAGTTTAGAAGATGCTTGAGGTTGGCCTTGTGTATGTACCCATATTGGGAACATACAAGTGTGGGAGGGTAAGACTGTGTGGCGTCTGGCAAATGATGATACTGGCAGGTCTTTGGGATTTGATACCTCATTGTCCTTTCCCATCCACACAAATCATAAATTGGGACTTCCTGTGCATACTTCAGGCTTGCCTGCTTATCTTACCAACATTGCTACTTTCTTGGTCAAAGCCACAGTCATCTCTTAGCAGAACAAACACTACCACTTTTTTTTTTTTCACAAGTGCCCCACAGCTACTTATATTCACCTAAACCCCTCTTTATAAACTAGCCAGGTAGTCTCCTGAAGAACAATGCAGCCATTTCTCTGGTTAAACGTCAGCAGCTTTACATGTTCCTTTGGTTAAAGTGACCTATTCTTAAATGTCACTACTTACCTCCTAATTTCATGTCAAACAGCTGCCCTCCTGATCAAGCTGATCCTTTTTCTCTCATTTTTCTTTTCTTTTACATGGTACAAGGTTTTATTTCTCCCATTTTCTGTAATTTTAAAATTAAGTTTATTCATTGAAAAATTTCATGTGTGTGTGTGTGTGTGTATTCTTATTATTCCTCCTCTTATCTCCTTACTGATCCTGTCAGTTCTCCCCTCAGTCTTTTTCCTAAACACGACTTTTGCTTTTGATTTGTGACTCAGTTAGTTTAATCAGGGCCATCTGTATGACCTTTGGTTTGGAACCATGCAGTGGAGCCTGGTGGGGTCACCACTGAGTATACAACTAAAACAGCGGCACCACATCTCCCTGAATCTTTCAGTTAGCAAATAGTTCACAGTGAAGGGTAGGGCTCCCTAAGCCTCTCTCTCATCCATGCTGGGCTGTTGAGGAGCTTATTCTTGTGAAGATCCTGTGTGGGCATCCACAGATGCTGTGTGTTTGAGATTGCAATGGTTGCGCCTTCTTCAGCAGATATTTTGTAACACTTCTCCATGCATTCTATTCTAGCTCTTAAATTATTTCTACTTCCTCTCCTACTTTGTTCCTTGCACCTTGGAGGGGATGGTAGAAATGTCTTGTTTGGGGCTGAGCACCCATCTGCCACTTATTTTCAGCACCTTGCATGGCTATGACTTTCATCATTTACTACCTTAACTGCAAAAGAAGCTTTTCTGGTTAGGGATGGGAGTAGGATTTGTTGATGAGTATAAACATAAATATTTACAAGACAGTTTGATGCTATGCCAACTTGACTAAACAGTATTCAGTTACCGCCTACAGACTATAATTGCCCCTTCTCATCATCCATGAGTTTTTGATAGGGCTTAATGTACCAGTCATGGATTCTGACCTGTGGAGCAAGTCTCAAAACCAGAGAACAGTTGGTTACCCCATAACAACTGTGCCACTGTTGCACAAGTAAACAAATCTTTTCTGCTGGTTGAACTCTTGCAATTTGTAGTGTTCACAGCTGTGTAAGACCATTTCTGCTTTTTCTCCAGCAGTCTGCATAGAGTGTTTTAGGACCATGAAGACTGGCATGCAGGGGAGAAAGTTTCTAGTTCAGTTTCAGCTTGAACTGTCCCGTCTCTACTGCTATTAGTATAGTATAGTGCTCAAAGTCTTATTAGAACATAAAAAAATAAAATAAAATAAAATAAAATAAAATAAAATAAAATAAAAGGGATACAAATAGGAAAAGAAGTCAAAGTATCCCTGTTTATAGGTGATTTAACACTGTACATTAACAGAAAGTTCCTAACCAGTTAACTTTCAGCAAAGTGGCAGGATACAAAATTAACTTCCAAAAAAGCCAATGACAAATGCACCGAGGAGGAAATCAGGTAAACAATTCCATTCACAATAGCCTAAAAAAATACCTTGGTGTAAACCTAATCAGGGAGGTGAAGAACCCCTGCATTCACCGTTTTGATACATTATATCTCATGACCTTCATTTATGCTATGCCAAAGACTGTGCTGCTTACGTTTAGTACTCACCACTGCATTCTGTGTTGAAAAGGAGACACTTAGGTTCTTATCCAATAGGCCTTCAGTGAAATTGAAAATTTGTATCTACTCATTTCAGTTGAGGCTGATATGTCTGCTTGGGGCACCTTACTCTGAAATCAGCTAGGCTGGAGTACACTTTCCTTCCTTAATTTCTGAGTGCCCATCAGATGTCGTATTAACTATCTTGCCTGAGGCAAGCCCTTCCTGTCCTCTGGAGTTGCAGCAGTTCCTGCCCTAGGCTAGCATGCATCTTCCCCTTTGAAGCCCGTATTGACATCGTATTTGAACACTTGTACCTGTAGATTTTTAAATAACTGCAAGATTCACACTCTGCTGTCTTGGTCGGTGCTATTAATGTGTTTCCTGGTCTTTTTTGTTCTTTGCTATTCCTATCCCTTGCATATTACAAACACTAAGTAATTCTTGGTTTCATGAATAATATTGTTCTTTCATTTTATAGGTAACTGAAAATTTGTAGTAGCACAAATGGTTTCAGTGAACAAGGTGGATAAATGAGGGGGGGGGAGCATGTAGCGATCAGAAGAAAGAATAAGCTTTTTTGTTGTTGTTCAGCAGGATACAGAGTGTTGTAAGCAAGACACTAGCATATTGTGGAAAACCCCTTCAATTTTACCTGCTGTGATGAGGACATTAACACAGTTCTTCCTCAGCTTGCATTCTCTGGTTCATTCACACCCTCTCATTCTCTGTGAGTGGTTAATTACCTATGTGGTTTTGTTTTTTCATATGCTGTTTTGTTTTTCCTTACAGATATGGAATGTGCGGATGTCCCACTGTTAACTCCAAGCAGCAAAGAAATGATGTCCCAAGCATTGAAAGCTACTTTCAGTGGTTTTACAAAAGAACAGCAGCGACTGGGAATTCCAAAAGGTATACTTTTTACAGTAGGAACAAAAAGGTCACTAAAGCTAGATCCTTGGGGAAGGCTCATTTGCTCTCCTGTAGCTAACTTGTAGTGATGGGCTGTTGCAGACATCCATGAAACACAGGGACTGAAGAACCACCCTGTCCCAACTTATCATTGCCATCTTGGTCTTAGGACAGTGTTTCCCCACCTTTCTGTACATCAGCATCTCTGGATGTTCGAGAACTTCTTGGGTAGGCCCCAGACTAGACCAGTTCAATCTGAACAGCTGCTGGCATCTTCATTTTGTAAACTCCTCAAACAATTCCAGCTTACAGATAAGTTTGGAAGTCTTTATTTTAAGGTCAACGTGGGCTACCCTGGATAAAGCCAGGGAGCTGTGTTGCTTTATATTTATACTCTGTTCTCTTTCATGAAATTTGGCAAAGTATGCTTGTGCTTTGGGTGTTCCTATCTAAAAGGGTTTACTGGGAATGGAAAGGGTCTGCAGTTGTCATAAAGAAGTGAGCTGTGACTTGTCGGCTCCACCTAGGACCATTTCCTGGACAGTCAAGAACAGGAAAGCTGTGTGTGTTTTGTTTTTGTTGTTCTTGTTAAGAAAGTTCAAGGAAGGCTGTCTATAAATCACACCACTTCTACTGTGAATAAAAGACGTCCAGCCTAGCCAGACCGAAGTGTTGGTTAGATTCTCTGAGTATATCTGTACAGTTTTAAAAATTCTGTTTACAACTTTACTGCAGACCTGGGTGGAGAACAGTCCCAAACATCTTTAGGGGACCAGAAGGCAGAACAAATTGACTCCTGGGCCCTGGGTGTTCTGGCACCTCATGAAGTTACTTTTGGGTTCAAACATCAGTTATGTGGGCACTGCAGCCTGCTGCCACCTGAGCCCATTTGGTGTTGTTTGCAGGTACAGCTCTGTTAAACCTCAGGTCATGTGTGAAAATTATATGTCATCAGTGCTTCAAAGAAGGTCCTGTGACACATGCAGACCTTGCAGGGCATCTTGGTTGCATAATGATACTTGGTTGACGTAGCAGCACTAATTGCTGTGATTACTGCAAAACCAAAGAGGCCAAGATAAAAATCATTGAGTGTAAAAACTTCAAGTGTGTCGGAGAGTTGAGAGCAGACAGAGGCAAGTGCAATTTGTGGAAAACACTTTACATTGTTATTATTGCCATTAAAGAAGTCATATTCCCTTATCTAGGGCTTTTAAAATTTTTAATGGAAGTAAGGGTGAGAGAGTAAGCTCAATGGAAATCTTGGCCCTAATAAAAGCAGGGAATTATTGTTGGCTGGCCACCGCACCTCCTGTCTAATAGAATAGAGAAGGTGGAATGCTGAATGTAGGGAGAAGAATATGAGAGGTGCTGGACCAGATGCTGCTTTCTAAGTCTGAGGGTGACTAGCGTTCTCAGCCTTGTTCCATCCCTTCACTGTCTCCTCCCCAGCCTGACCTACTACATCCTCATTTGCTCTCTCTTCTCAGACCCGCGGCAGTGGACAGAAACCCATGTTCGGGATTGGGTGATGTGGGCTGTAAATGAGTTCAGCCTGAAAGGTGTGGACTTCCAGAAGTTCTGTATGAATGGAGCGGCACTGTGTGCCCTGGGTAAAGAATGCTTCCTCGAGCTGGCTCCAGACTTTGTTGGGGACATCCTGTGGGAGCATCTAGAGATTTTGCAGAAAGGTAAATGTGTGAAATCAGGGAGGAGGGATTTGTGTGAGTTTCTCTAAGAGTAGGAGAAAAGCTGGTCCAGTGGTGGGCTACTCGTGCTATGGTCTGTGGGGATGTGTTTGGTACAGGGCCTGGCACAAAGCAAGAGCTCAATACATGCTGGCTTACTTTCTTCTATGCTTTAGGAGTTCACATTTTCATTTTTAGCAAAATTGTATTTCTCTAGCATCTTGTATTCAAAAATATGATCCACATTATTTTCTTAGACCCATACATTGTTTGAACGAACAGTGTCTGGATTTAAATAAATGTGGATTTAAAAAAGAGTTGTTTCCCCCACCCCATAAATTTTAGTATACACTCCCTTGATCTGTGGTGTAACCTTTCTGGGAACAGGAGAGTACAACTTCTCCAAGCTTCTTAGTAAGACAAGTTTCTCTGCCACTCACTGGCTTGGGATTTTGGTAGTGTAGAATACCTTTTCCATTTAGAGTCAAAGTTAGGGTCATATCAGGACGTGGTGTTGCAACCTTGCAATGACACAGCCTCCTCTACTGGCCTCTTCTAACCTTTTTGGACCAAGTGACTCATGTTCCATAGCTCCGGCTGAGTATAGAAACAGCAGCAGGCGGCAAACTTGGGTGTTTCTGCACTTATTTTTTCTGAATTTCTTCTTAAAATAAATTGTAGTTACCAGCAGTCAGCCGTGCCCTAGAGCTGACTGTAAGCCTAGAAGCTGGCTGCCCTCTGTAACCAGGCCCACCCTTTCCCTGTGGTCACCAGCCCCAAGCTCTAGGCACAGCCACTGGGAGCAGGGTACACAGCTCATTCCATATAGTACTTCCCTTTGTCTGAAAGTATGCCTTGCTTTTTAGGCTGGGGAGAGACCCAGTCCTGTTCCTCTGGGCACAGAAGTATCATGTGTGCTCCTTCTCCTCAGCTTCTTACTGAAAATGATCAATGGATGAACACAGTCAAGGACTTGGTGGTTCTTCTGGTGGCCCCTGCTACTGAGGAATAGACAACAGCCCTAGTAACTGCACTGGTGCTGACCCCTAGGCACTGACATGCATGACCTGTTCATAAGAGGAAAAGAAAGATGTGGTAGGATCCTCACAGAGCTGGTTTAACTGCTGGCTTCTGAAGGCAGCAGCAGGTTTCACCAGACCATGAAACCAAACATAGTCTGTTAGTACAATGCTTCTCTGAATGAAATTCCCACAGTGGATGTACCAGGAGCTCGGGGTCATCTTAGTCTGCCACTAGTCAGGGTCCATTCATATCCTTGATCCCAAAGTGCTGCAAGATATATTTTCTCTTGGAATTACTCTCAATCAGTGATCAACACTTTAAACTTTACTTACTTCTAAGTCCGTTTTAATTTCACTCCCCATCCTGTGTTCCTGCTGTGAGACTGTGGGCTGGGAGAAACTGCTGCCTCCAAGGCAGGATTAGGCTGTAGCCTATGTTTATGCAGTGGAGTACTGTCAGGGAATTGAAGGGAGGTAGGGTATAATTGAGTACAGGTGAGAAGGCAAGCGCTGTCATCCCAGTCGGTGTCCCATTGATCGAGGCAGTGAAAATGCCTTTCTGTTGATTCACGTTTCTGAAGCGATGATCAGAACGTTTGTACTCAGGACAGCGTCGCTTCTGTGATCAAACCTGAGCGGCATGGCAGCCAGAGAGCAGAGCTGCTTGGGGTGGAGCTGGAGGCCAAAGGTGCAGGGGATGTTTCCATCTGATAAGCCTTTCAAGCAGAGTTTAATCATTTTATCTCAATGTGCAACTTTTTTTTTTCTTTTTGAATGCAGGCATAAACTTGTTTTCCCATCAGCCTTAGCTCTCAGCAGGCTAGCAGATACCTGAGGAAAAACCTGTATCAGCAGTCTCCCTTTGCAGTTGATTTTCACAGAGAAATATAGTCAGGCTCTATAAAGTGTCAACAACTAGTACATATGATTCTAGAGTGGCCAGAGGACCCCGAGCCGACCGTGACAGTTCTGCTCCTTGCTATATTTTTCTCTTTATTCTTTTCTGGTGCCCAAGGAAGTTGGCATCTAGGCAATTTGGATACGTTGCTTCTCTTACTTTACATAAGTCCTCATGGTTCACTGAGTGGAGTCACCTTACCAGTGTCTTGTTTCTTGTCTGGGCCTGAACTTGACTTGAATTCTGAGAACAATGAAAAAAACAGAATTAAAAAAAAATAAACAACCCAGACATCTGGAAAAAAAAAAAAAAGAGGATATAAAATCACACTTGCCTAAAGACTGGAATGTGTTTCTGAATTTTTTTTTAAATTGATCAGTTTGAGTGTTAGGCACTGATCAAAGTCCTTGAGACATCCCCAGACTCAAGCCTAAAGATTCAGGTCTCTGAAGGGGAACACCAAGACATCACAAATGAGGGCTGGGCATGTCCTCAACCTTCAGTGATTACCCGCTGGCTCTCCTTCCGAGATAAATGGGTAAATCTCATTTCACAGCTCCTGAAGTGATAAACTCAGACATACTTTTGTGATCTCATCCTGAAATAAGGCTCCATTCAGGCAACTCAGACACCACCTGGAATGTGCTTGTAGATTTCTCAGGAAAAAAAAAAAAAGGTTGAGAGCCTTAGGGTCCTTGTGTGTTCAAGATCCTTGTAGGCCAAGTGTCACTTGCATGTTAACTTTCTTTCATTCCCTGACATGTTTCTTACAGAAGATGTGAAGCCATATCCGGTTAATGGAGTCAACCCTGCCTATCCCGAGTCCCGTTATACCTCGGATTACTTCATTAGTAAGTGCTGTCTTTCACTCTCCTTCTGTCTCTTTGTGGTCAGGAACTTGGAAAAAGCTCCCTGGCCTAGTTGATCTCAGATACTTTAATAATAATTCTATAGAAAGCAATATTTTTCTCAATTATATTCTGCTTTTTATTATTTGTTTTATTTTATAACTTCACAAAGTACAAGCATTAACTTTGTATGTGTGCTTACCAGTCTACAAAGTTCCTGGAACTGGGAAGAAACGCACCCTGGCCAGATTTTGATCTTGTTTAATCCTGTGTGTGAGAGTGAGCGGGAGAGGATTGGGTTAGGGATTTGATTTTGGTCCACATGCTTTCGTTGTCTTTTAATATAGATGACAGGTTTTACGATGGGATTCTTCTAGATTCCATGAGTGGCCCATGCTGCATCATAATCTGTAATAGAAAGTAAAACTTTCTCTTTTTTTTAGTGTAAGATTCCTTAGCACACTATAGAGGTGGCTAGAGAAGAGATATCATTGGGATTCTCTGATGGCCCTTCCTTTAAAGGTAGTGTTAAATAGGTGTAATATATGTATCTACATATATTTACATATCTACATATATTTAACTTTTTGCCTATTACAGTTTTTATACCAATGACAAGTTAAATTCACTAGATATCAAGAGCTTATTGTGAATGCCAGAAATGTAGACATTGTGCAAATACTGTCTTATTTACTGTTCTTCACAGTGCTCTGAGGAAGACTTAACTAGCCTTATTTTATAGATCAGTAAATTAAGACCAAACAGGAAGGTATCTTATCAAGGGCTGCAGATAGCAAGTTGTGTATCAAGGTTGAACCCAAGTCCTCTGACTTACTGGTTTTTTGTTTTGTTTTGTTTTCTTTTCTTTTTAAAAGCAGTCAGCTCACATCATGTGGTGGGGCCTTTACTCCTTGACTGGTGGTGGTAAGGATTGCGGATTGCTTCTTTCTAGTACCAGGGTCTCCAGTCGTAAACATTTTCCTTTTCTAGGCTATGGTATCGAGCATGCGCAGTGTGTTCCTCCCTCCGAGTTCTCAGAGCCCAGCTTCATCACAGAGTCCTATCAGACACTGCATCCCATCAGCTCAGAGGAACTCCTGTCCCTCAAGTACGAGAATGACTACCCTTCTGTCATTCTCCGGGACCCTCTCCAGACAGACACCTTGCAGACAGACTACTTTGCCATCAAGCAAGAAGTGTTAACTCCGGACAACATGTGCATGGGGAGGGCGAGTCGTGGTAGGTCAATTTTACCTTCACATTCCTTGGGTGTACAAAAATCTCCACAATGCATGAGTTGTTCAGGTCCCGTTTTGCTCAGGGATCAATCTTCTAGTCATCAGTCTTAGCTTTGCCATTTTTGAGTGTATAGACAATAAGACCTTTCTACTGTGGGATTTTAGCTTTATCTGACACGGTACCAAAGATCATAGGGGTCACGGTGGAACTAATCATGGCAGAATAATAAGCAAATGTTGTTATCAGGGTGAAATGGTTTGCCTACATAATACTTCTAGTTGGAATTGAAAGGTAGGCTGTGGTTTCTTTAAGATGGTTTTGCTTGAGATCATAATTCTCTTGAAATTTGGCACGTGCTTTGGTGTTCCTCTCAGGATACACCTGGTTCACACTGTAGAACCTGGCTTGGTACCTGGGATGACCCTTGCTGCTCATCCTGGGAAATTAGCCACTTTTGACTTCTTTGGTTTGGGCAGATACAAGATGGTTAACCAATTGCTTATTTGGAACTGGTGGTCAACAGTGTGGTATAAGTGTGTGTTTAGTTAGGGGACCAGGGAAAGAAGGTCAGAAGCTTCCAAAAGAAGGTACTCTTGTTGACAAGGCTATTATAATAATTATAAAACATTCACTGGCAGCAAAGTGTTTCAAAATAGGTCTGGCTGACCTGTTGCCCCAAAGGTAAAATGTACCCGATGTTTAAGATGAGGCCATGAACATTCCACTACCAGGATCAGCGTGTTCAGATTGTCTTGTTGCTGAGAAAAGTGCAGTCTCTTAGAAAGAGAGCCTTCTTCACCCAGGAAGAGTCAGCTAGTTTCTGAAAAGCTAAAACATGACTTTCCTGGTGGGTAAATGGGAAAGTATTATGAACAGGAAGAGGAGGGTAGTGACTCCTGCTTGCTAAATGACTCCCTGTTTTACCTGTTCAGAGGTCTTCAAAAAGAAGAGAGCCAAAGGTACAGTTACCCTGTGGCCATAGTAAACCATACCTGCTGTCATCCTCTTGAAGTGTTCAGGCTCACACTTCCTCCCAGCAAGCCTGGGATAGCTCTCTGGCCTGGAATAGGAAAAGTCTCTGCAAAATCAGAACCTGAATCGTCCTTCTAAAGCTCCTAGGTTGTTTGTGTTTCAAACCAAAGGGAATGGGTGGGACTAGGTCTGCCTTCCACTTTCTGCCTGTCTTTATTTTTGGGTATGTGTCTATTTAAATACATACTCAAAACCGTGTGCATCTTTTCGAGCAGTTTGAAGCCTTAGAACCATTTTCTTCCTTGTGGGGCTGTCTCTGTATATTTAAGGAGGCTGAGTTGTGGATTTGGGGTTCAGCTATGTTGTAAATCTGGGTAGATCTATAATCACATTGTTTTACAATTGTGGCTGGGTTTGGATTGGTGTAAACGGTTCTCTCTCCCTTTCCTTTTTCATGGTTCTTGGGTCCTCACTACCCCTGGAGACCCTAACTAATGATTACAAACCTAGATTGATACTCACTATAGGACATCAGTTGTTTCTTTGTCATTCATCTCCAAACTCAGGCCACAGACTTTCACAGACCAGCTTGTGCAAGCATGCTTGCTGCATGGTAGACATGCTGTAACACGGCTGGCCCAAGGGCCATTGATTCTGAGTGTTGTGATTGGTCTAGACTAAAGACATTACTGTTAACTTTCTATTAATAATCGTAGTATTCAGATTCCGTGTTACAGTGTACAAAGTAGTCCTCTGTCCCGCTTGTTTGAGCTCTAAGGCCTGTCTTTGTATGAGTCTTTTCTGTGGGTGGCTGTGGGGCTATGCGTCTACTGTTGAGAGTGCTGTTTGGGGGACTCAATTAGCTTTGGAAGGACCTTGCAGAGGCATTTCTCAGAAAAGATGGTCAGTGCTTGTCTCGGGGATGCCTGCCTCCCTGGTTGAACAGGGAAGCAGAACCAAGTGTCTAATCCTTTTGGATCCAAGACAGTGTTTTGGAGAAAATACCCGTTAATGAAGGCTTCCAGCACTAAGGTTGTGAAATAGAGCTAAAATGAAAGCTGCGCTCAGCTCTAAACCACAGTCTGAACTGAGTGGCATAAGGCTGTGAGAGAGTAGTGCACCAACTTTAGCACTTTTGCTAAATGAAGCTCTTTCGGCTCTTGGCCCTCCAAATACCAAAATGGCCGATGAGATAAGAGACTCAGGCATAGCCAAATACCTACTTATGGATGACTCAGTGGGCAGGGTATCCTTTATGGAAATATAGGTTTCTTTCTTAGGCTTTAGGTGTGTTTATGTCACAGAGGAATCAAATGGCAGCATCCATAGCTAGTATGAGAAAGCACCTTCTGTGAGATACTGGAGGCTGCTAAAATGGTTGTGGCATTCTGTATATGGACTGCTTTCCTGAGACATGTAATGTGACTCAATAGTCATGGAAAAGGACTGATGTGGTATGGAAAAGGCAGGCTGGGCCTTTCACTCCTCAGGCTCTCATTTGCTTTCTGGATGTTGCCTTTCTTTGAACAAATGAGCAGAGGGTAGAGTGAGATATGACCTTCCTGTCTTGAGCAGAATGGGTAGAAGGGTAGACTGTCAGTAGCAGTGCATTGTATCAGAATTACTGCTTATCTAGGCTTTTAAATTTTTTCTTTTTTTAAAAAAAAATTTGAGAACAGTATCCCATGTGTTTAACTTTGATTTGGGCAGCTGCTCATGTTTGAATTTTATTTTCTTAATCAGTCCTCACTATCATGAAGGAGCAGCTATGTGGTTGGATAAGGCACATTTATTTCAGGGTTTAGCTAGCCTTGCACAATTGAGAATGGATTTAGGGGTTATTACTACAGATGTGTTTGTCACATCTGCCCATCTTTTGGCTTGTGCTAGATACAAGTGGCCGTCCTGTCTCCTGAGATCTGCCTCCAGGTGCTTGAACAGTAGCTGAACATGAAACATAAAAATAAAATATTCCTGGGAGCCTTTTTAGGTCTTCGATGCATTTATTTTCATGTTAATTGTTTTTATATTAGCCCCTGTTTTAATGGCATTTTTGCCGATGGAAATTTTCTCCAGGAATGATTGCACAACCATAGCAGCTGTTTATAACCTGGTTTGGGAAATGAATGAACTTGCATGATCTTGTGGTCAGTTCAGAATGCCTTAAGTAACACACAGAGCTAAGGGTTTCTGACCCTGCCCTGGGCCTCCGCTTCTCGGTCATCTCTTCTGACCGTGGAGTATGAACTTCAAGTATTAAACTGTACTGGAAAGGGAATCTAATAAGGTTTTCTGCCTAGAATAATGACAGTGAGTGTTGGTGGGCTTTGTTTGACTCTCCTTGAAGGCATGGCATAACTTCTTCCTCTATTTCAGAGGGCATAAAGGAATTGCTTAGTATTTGGGAAAAGATACTTAGAAAGTTAATACTTTAGTTCCAAGAGCAAGGGGGAGCAATCTGCTCTTAGCCTATTGGAATCTTTCTTCTTTATGATCAAAATATTTTGCCACATTGGTCCTTTTGAAATAATTTCATTGGCTGGAATTAAAAAAAAAAGATTCAGTTTAAGTCTAATATATTAACTGGGACTCTCATGGCAGGTACCACTCCAAGATTCTACATTTCTGGGTTTAGAATTCTTGAGGTCCTAATCCTGTGTGTCCATACAACAGGTCAGAGGAGTAGAACCTGACTTCTAGTCTCTATCCTAGGAACTATAAGCCAGGCAATGACACTGTCTCTGATGTTGTGACTAGGCCAACCTCCTTCCCACTAGTATAGATTCCATGACTTCTGGGACTTCTGTATCCCTGGGCCCTCTCTCCCTTAATCCCTCTCCAGATCAGATTAGCAATCTGTCCTCCATAAGAGGGTTTTTACAGTTGTTTTTTCCCAACCCTTCCTCCCTGCCCTCTTCCTACCTCCTCCTTTACCTCCAGGTAAACTCGGGGGCCAGGACTCTTTTGAGAGTATAGAGAGCTACGATAGTTGTGACCGCCTCACCCAATCCTGGAGCAGCCAGTCGTCTTTCAACAGCCTGCAGCGTGTCCCCTCCTATGACAGCTTCGACTCCGAGGATTACCCTGCTGCCCTGCCCAACCACAAGCCCAAGGGCACCTTCAAGGACTATGTGCGTGACCGTGCTGACCTCAACAAGGACAAGCCTGTCATTCCTGCTGCTGCCCTGGCTGGCTACACAGGTAGGCACCAGCCCCGTCTATGTGGCTATTTGCATGTTTCTGTGGGCCAGGTCAAGTACAGAGACCCAAGAGCATCCCTTTTTCTTTTTTGTGAAGAGTAGATGTCTTTGGAGGGTCTTCAGTCTCAAGCCAATCTGCCTGTGGTAAAGCCACTGATTTGGGGAAGCAACAGTATCATTCTCTCTCAAGGGTTCATATTGAAGAGTGGTAGAAATTTTAATTTTGGAACTTCTTTCGTATCTGGGGAAGGGGCTGTGATGACCGGGAGTCTTTGGATACTGCCTCCTGGATAGTAGAGGGGATTTTGCTGATCTGCTCTGGGGAGACCTTTCCAAATACAAAACCAGAAGCTAGCTTTCTCAAGGACAGAGGTCAATGGCATGCATGCTGGAGAGTTTCACAGTATGGTTATCATAGCAGCTTGCTGTTTTGAATTTCAGAACAGTGTTGCAAACCCTGTACAGACCAGTTCTGGCCTTCCATAGTAAAACACTTAAAAACAACAACAACTACTACTATTACTATTATTACTCCTTAGCTTTGGGATTGGGTTGTTTGCAGGTGTGAAAGCTATCATTGGAGTAGTAGTGATTTCAGAAAGAACCCAGAGCATGGATGACATTCACCAAGCTTGGGCTTTGACAGAGATTGTGATGGCAGAGCAAGCCAGTTCACTGTTCCCATGAGCAGTAGCACGTACGCTACTTAACCTAGGAGCCTTGGAATAGTTTGTTCAAGAAAAGGTCCAGGAGAATGGAATAATAAATGTGCTAACTATCAGATTCTTTCTACACCATTGCAGTGTTTTCAAGGCTCACAAAGTGCGTTGTTAGCCAGATTGGTCTACATGCTGTCCTTTTAAAATGTCCTTCAACTGGACAAATGAGGGCTCTGTGTGACTAAAGACAAACAGCAGACATGGTCTTTCTGTTGACATACCTGTCTGATATTAAAAGTGTTTTAGGGTAGTTTTGGGATTTTTCTGAAAATCAACTGATCTTTAAGAACAAAATTCATATTCTTTGAAAAATTACTCCTCCTTCAAATATCAAGAATATATTCTCTATATTGCATTCCACAATGATCCTAGGGCATTCACTGCATTAGCAGTACCCAGAAAATGCCTTTATGTTTGGGAGTGACAGCAAGGACCATAAGTAGAATCATGACCCACAGACAAAACTAAAGATCGGCATTCTTTTTCAAATACCTTCATGTCTATTTTTGAAGATATTAGTAGGTGGGACTAGCTACATTTCAAGAGAATCTTTTTTTCTACTTCTGGAGAGCAGATTATTGCGAAACGTACTCATTTTCATTGAATATATCTGAGATGAGAAAAGTCCAGGGACTTTTCAAGGTGTAGAAGAATGGCAGACTTTGGAATTGGGACTAGATTCTCTCTGGCTGGATGCAGTGATAGAATGGGGGAGGGGGGAGGGGCGGCTTAGAAGAGAAGGAAAAGGCAAGTCCAGGGTAGTGCTCAAATGATGGAAAGTATTCGTGTTTGCGTGTTGTTTAATAGGCTCTTTTCCTCCCTCTGTTCTTCTTTCTCTCCTTCCCTCTCTGCATGGGATAAGGGATTAAAACAGTCAATGAGTAGAGGAGGTGGAAAAGCGATTATCACTTAACTTTCTAGAAGACTGAGCTATTTGAACTGAAAAAAATAAAAGTTAAAGCATCTCTACATTTAGTTTCTGTTTCTTTACAATTTTGGATTTAGCTTTTTCAGACTCAAATAGTGGTGAGAACAGAAGCCCAGAAAACAGAAGTCCTCTGTGCTCCCTCCCAGCTCTAACACACTGTGTGATTTTAGGCAAATTTACCTTGTACCTTTTTCTACTTTTAGTGAAGTAGAACTGCTCACCCTTATCTTGACAATAGGAGATGTGAGGAAATGCAGTTGAACCACGTCAATTAATTAAATAAGTGCTAGACATTCTGCTAGACCAGGTGAGAAGAAACCCCTACTTGTAATAAATTTATTATTTCAGCAAATGGGCACCAACTAGGTGTAAGTAAGACTAACCCCTCCCCC